TCCTAGAAAGGTGAGTGCCAATCGTGTGAAGAGAGAGGAGATGAAACAGTATGAAAGGACTAACATGGATTCAGGTGAAAAGTACATCAAAAGGAAGACAGAAGCAAGTGGAGACGTGAAGTTGAAGCCCTACGTTCCACTAGGTACTCAAGGGAACAATAATAATATTATAATAATATAGATCCAGAATGAGCCAAAATCACCCATTAAAAAGTTATCAAATAACAGATACACTATGAGATCAGTCTATTCGATATAAAATTACAGTGATACAACATAACTATTATTTTTACTATTTTAACGAGTTGATCACGGATCGATATCAGTTAGAGAACCACCGAAAACCAGAACTGGAGTACTGGACAGCTGTTTCCGTTGTCCTAGTGCCTGGGAATCATCGGCAGTACGCACCCACCACATGGGGTTCGAACCCAGAACCTTCTGGTTACAAGGCAAGCTCATATACCATATATAACTTCTAGTGACTTGCTACAGGACGGAGTTTCTTGGACTTCTAATGAGAAGTCGTGACCAGTGAGGTCCATCCAGTCAAGTATGAGGATGGATGTTCACCGACGACATTGGTTGGGGTCATGCTAAATCACGAATTGGTAGAAGTTAGAATTCATGGGCCATTGGATCGGGTCTCAGTGGCTGAATGGTATAGGAGCTTGCCTTGTAACCAAAAGGTTCTGGGTTCGACCCCCGTGTGGTGGGTGCGTACTGGCGATGATTTCCAAACTAGGACAACGGAAACAGCTGTCCAGTACACCCTGGTTTTCAATGCTTCTCTAACTGATATCAATCCGTGATCAACTCGTAAAAACAAAACTAATCCTTACAAACCAACTATAGAAAATATTATTAACTGGATGACGTTTTGAGCACTATTTATTGCTCAAAATCGCATATTTTTTTGATTGGACACCGTGTGGCAGCTTATGTCATACTTCTAGTCCTTGGTGGGATAGTACAGACTGATTTCTACCGTCAGTCAAGTTTACAATGTGGCCAGCATGATGCTGAATGGCTAACCATCACAGTGCACTCTGAACTGTTGTCACTAGAAAGTTGGAGGCAGCAATCGGCCACAGAAAGCCTTGCTTGACCTAGATTTTGTGCTAGCTGACACTCATCAGTCAGCAGGGTATATCTGCAGTCACGAAGGAGCTGATATCACTTCTGAAGCTCGAATCCCGGTCACCCAGTGCAGTGCTGCACAGTCAGAGATGCTACCACTGAACTATTTGGCCTCGTGTAGGACTACATTGAATACTTTGACTGAACACTAGGTGGCTGAAATACCTTAGTGGTAATATGTCTGCAGCAGTTAGCGGTACTGGTTTGAATCTCAAAAGAGATATGAGTTGCTTCAAGATTTTAGATATGTCTTGTTGGCTGACGATTGCCAACGAGGACGAAACCTTTGATTCAAGGTTTCCTGTCGATTACCACCAACCATCTAACAACATTTCATATCAGTTGATTCGCACGCCTTCATAATTTGCTTTACACATTTTTCCCTCTCTTCCTCGTTACTCTACCACAACGCTCAAATTCCACCCTTAAGAGGTACCATGTCTTGTCCCTCTAACCACCGAGATAATGATAGATTTGGATTCATTTTAACTTCAATATACTTCAATATATGACAGTATACGACTAGTCACTTGAATACTATCCCCACATGAAAGTGAAGATTTATTCTTCAAGGAAAACGCAGCGCCTAATTATAAAGTTACTTCACACAACTAATAAAAGATATACAATCCAATGGCTGTCAACTCATGAGGCAGTCCTGTAACTAATCAAGTCCCTGCAAACCAACATTTGAATAACAATCTGATGTTCACTAGTGACTAGGCCTATTCATGTAGATAGTTACCTAAGTTCTAGTGGGAAGTTGTGACCAGTAGGGTACAGCACATCGGATATGAGGACAAATACTCACCACCGATGATATTGGTTAGTGTAATTTGCGCTGTATCGTGAACTTAGCAGAAATTTGAATCCATCCACTGACTACTGGATCGGGTGCCGGTGGCTTAATGGTCGACGGAGCTCATTGGCTTTGTAACCGGAAGATCCTAGGTTCAAACACCCGTAGTGGGTGTGTACTGCTGAAGAGTTCAAAGCAACATCTGAATATACAAGACTACATTTTGACTGGTAAGGGGATGTAACAGTAAGAATCAAATGATGAAACCTGTATAATCAAGGCTAAGGCAAACGTTAACACCAGTTCACTATTCGTCTCCTCCCATCTTCACAGGCCTAGTTTCGGATTCTTCAGTAGCTCATGCTGGAACTCCCTTAAGGAACCAAGCCTATGATTGTCAACTCTGAATGATCTATGTTTTTATTCCTTTCGTTTTATGACACAGTTATAAAGCGTCATCTATGCCTAATTCTCCTTAGACCTGGTTACTTAGTTCTCAAAGGCTTAATAGCTTATAACTGATGACGTAAACATATGCCAACTATTTTCACTGACATAAGATTAACATGTGTACGGAGAAAAAAATGAATGTCATTGCAAAATATACATGATCGGCATCTAAAGCAACTCGTTACCCCGTGGATTGGGCATTTTCACAATACAGTTTAACAGCTGTTCAACATTGTTTGGTTTTCAATAGTTTTCATTCTATCTCAAATCGATTTGCAATGACATTTAACTTGAGAACAGTTTAAATCCTCAAAAAGCCAGTTAATTTGACTGATTAACTGGTTTCAACATAGAACTTTCCACAGATGTGAACCACTTTCATTTGCCACACCCCATGTAGCACACAGCAAAAGAGGAGAGTAAAGAGAGATTCACCAAAAGAGAGGGAGAGAGAGATTTTCAGCCATATCACTTAGAATCCCGAGGACATCAACCAGCCAGCCAGTCTACACCTACTGACATTCAACTATACATCTGGCCATAATAGAGCACGCCTTCCAGGAAAGGGCATAAACTTTTGACAGACAACAATAAGCTTACATGAGGCACTGAGAAGTGTGCTTATTTCCCCTGAAAATCTGACCACAAATACACTTGAATTTGTCAGACTGACTGACTGGTTTCAACATGGAACTTTGAACCGATGTACACCAAGTTCTAGTCGCCACACTCCCTCAATGTACCACACAAGGTGTTACAAAGAACTAATGGTTGTCGATTGTTGGTGAAACAGATGGAAATCTTTCACAACGGCACAGATATGATCTTCATTATAACCTTCAGGATTCTGAACATTATTACTCTACATCTAATCATTGTTTCTTTATGCTTATATTATCCATTAGGATACCATTTTGTTATTTTTGTGTTTTACCAAGTACCACAACCGAAATTGTACACCACTCATTCTCATGAAACCTCCAAACACAAAATCAAAGTCAAACTTTATCAGTAGACGAGTATCCTGGGTGACTAGTAAGCCAAAGCCTGTTGTGATAGAAATTTTCATTCGCCCAGTTTGAATACAATGATATATTATAATAATAATACCAAGACGTCAGATACAAGTCACCTATTAAACAAACTACGGAGTACTGGACAGATGTTTTATCCTCATTCCTCGGACTCTTCAATAATACGCACTAACAACCTCACCCGGGATCGAACCCAGGACCTTTAGATTACAAATGCAAGCTTGTTAACCGTTCATCATCAGTAGTTCAATAGAACAATACTCACCAACCAAGCGGAAGGTTCGAATGCCGGCCGACCCACTCTTACACCTCGGTTAGTCAGTAGTAAAAACACATAAAAGAGGGAAGATTGGGAATGAGACTAGTCACTTCAATTCGTGAAAGCAATATCACTGCTATTGTCTGTCTGTCTGTTTTCAACAAAGAACTTTGAACCTATGTGCAGCATTTCCAGTCGCCACACTCCCTCCAAGTAGCACAGAAAGCAAGAGAAGAAAGTAGAAGAAATGTGGTGAGAGCTGGCTGTTAGTCAAAATTGGTGGACAGTAATTTACGTCAATGTTTATGTCCCTTATATTGGTTGTGAGAAAGATGAGAACAAAGGCTTTGCGTAGGCGGATACAGTTAACATATAGATGATCTGACATTCAAGAAACAGCCACCAAGAGATGCAAGGTTAACTTTCTGTGAGAAACAAACAATCAGAAGACTGTTTTTCTGCTAACAATAATCTATAATATGTACATGAAAATCCATAAATATGTGTTGATTTCCATAATAAACGATCTGTTACCTGGCCCTGGTCTTCCGTTGTTACAGAAATGCACAATAGAGACAATAGACAGGGATATGAGACAAGAGGAATAATAATATCGAAGATCAATATAGTTTCATTGGAAATCATAAGTCACAAGGAGTGGATGCATCTAAGCCAGGCAGTGAGAACGATTTTGAGCCGTATCACTAATTGTCTCCAGCCGCCATTGCTGCTTACCGTCCCGAGGCCCCAACTAGGAAACCAGTGTACCTCTTCCTACGTGACTGGCTGGCTGGCTTAAACTAACTGTTGTGGATTTCATTGACTGGTGCCATGTTTCGGTTTGACCAGCCTGACTCTGTGTCAGCTAACATTCCTCGTCCAGGAAGGAGATGGCTGGGCTAGGCACGCGTAACACATGTCCTAACCATCTCAGTCGAAGTAACTTCACAACCTCGTCGACTGATTTCCCCTCCCTCCTTACCTACCATCGACCGATGCATAACCTCAATATTCCTCACCACTTCACACGGGAGATAGAACGCAGTCACCTATGATCAAAGACAGCTAGCCGGCCAAGCTTTTCATGTCTTCCACTCCGTATGGCCATGCCTCATTCACAATCATAGAGGAGGATGGAGAGGACTGTTGAGCAGTACACCCGCCCCTTGGTCAATAGCCGGATATCACGTCACTGCTAGTGAAGCCTCAAAGCTCCAGTCGGAACGCACACAAATGTAGAAAAATAAAAACATCAAACAAACCACAACTATTGTGTCAAGTTATGCTTGACAAATTATAAATTAGCACAAGACAATTTAATCATAAAATATAAATATATTTATATTTTGAAAAAAAGAAATAATCACAGTATTCACATCTCAATAGTTAAAGAAAAAAATCAGTTGACTAATAGAATCGAAGAATAAACCAACACATAAAGAATATAATACACACAAATATAATTAAATAGCAATATAAACTAGACGATAAATTCTGTTTAGCCATACGAGATAATCGTGACATTGTAGAGCGTAGTACACCTTCTGAGTGATCAAATGTTCCAGCCATATCACCGAGTAAATTATTCTGTGATCGTAATTCATCGCCTATTTTTATTGACAAACTACGCAAACCATGTACTTTTTCAACCAGTTCAAAATTTAAACGTTCATGATCATCATAGATAGGTGTTGATGATTTGTAATCAGGTGGATTATATGCCCCATAGTTGTACTGAGAATGTGAATGCCTATTCGAGTTTGGATACATTCGCTAGTTACACTTGAATTCCATCTGATTTAATACATATACAGTATAAATTGTCAAAGAACCTATTAAAAAAAACAAAAATAAAATTGGCTTAATTGTTGAAAAACAAAAGGTCCAAGAAGAATGACAACTGATTGATAAATGTTATGCGTACAGATAGAAAGCGTTTAAATACAATTAATTTTCACTACTAAATTATACACAGTGCGTCGGTGGTACAGCGGTTAGGACGCTCGCCGACCATGCACATAGTCTGGGGTTTGATCCTCGGCCGACGCACTCCTTTACCTCACTTAGCCAGTATTAAGACTAGTAAAGAGGGAAGGTTGGGCATGAGGCTAGCAACCCCAACCGTAAAAATAGACACTGCTACGGAAACTTCAAGCCACTAGCTTGAAGCCCTGTGTTCCACTGGGAACGTTTAGCAAAGCGCAAACTGAGAGCATAAAAAATGGTACCACAATAAATCAACGTAAACATATCTAGACAAAAAGTAGTAATGTTCAGTAGTTCGAAGATCATAATGAGGGAATATATATATGTATGGCACTGTGAAAGATTCCTTTTTAAGCAAAATAAACAACCAATGATTTGTTGCATCACAGGGACATCAAGCAGGTGACCTACATCGCCATGTGGGTCTCACACCAAAAGTCAACGTTTTCATGCATTGATTTCATGTGTTTACTTTGATCATTGTGCTTATGGAAGTGTGTGGGTGACTATTAACTCCCGTTTACCTAAACCATGGAAGTTGACTTCTTCAAATACCAGAAATAGAAACAGTAGTAATGTCGCTTGTCGGCGGGACAACCGTTTAAGGCGATTTCCACGCCTTCCTTAAAGCGGAATTAGAGTTATATCTACATGAAGTTCTTACCCCCGAGTACGGGTCGCCACAACCTGATTCGTGACGCATAGCTTCCAGAATTTATCTTCTCTAACGTTACTAATTAAAGCTGGAAGACAGATAGCAGGCTATCAGGCCCTTCGAGGGGAATATCTAACTTACATCCCATCCTTACTCGCCGGTAATACTTCGCCCTTAGAACCCCACTCCTCTCTCAGCATTGTTTCGACGAATTACTCCAAGATGGCAATTGCTTTTAGTTTAACCGTTATTTAAACGACCTTTCTGGTATGACAGCAATATTCTTCCCAACCAGTGTATCCCGTTGAGTGAATGTGATATGCAAACCTGACAACTATATGAGCGCGACCATTGTATTTTTCCTCCCAAACTAATCCTACTTCAGTTGATATTGACTACCAACAAATTTGATGGTGCGGCATGCATAATTTTATGTCTCAGACACCTTGGTTTACATTACACATCTAACTCTAAATGTGGTCTAAACTAGGGTATTAGAGACAAATGTCTGAGTACACAGATACCCACCCCCTCTGTCTGTTGAATCCAGACAGACAGACCCTCCCAACGCCTCCACGTCAAACAACTGGAGTGCCAAACGAAGTATTTATACAAACAGTCATATCAGTTTTTATTTCCCCACCACTCCTCTAACCTCAAATAGCATACATCAGCCATAATAGAAGTCATAACCACTAAACATTTTCATAATTTTCAGAAACCACTCGCAGAATCAGGTTACTTTCACATGCTAAATAGATGGAATCTTTTTTGTGCAGAGTAAAACTTTCACGTTCCCTTCAGTACAAGAACGAGTACTTAGATATAATAATCAATGTCAAAGAGATATGCAGTGACAGATATTCGTGAAGGATATGAGAGTAAGAAATTGAAACATATTCTTACTTCAAAGTAGTATATAGCATTGATTTATACGACTCGTTCACATCGATTTCCGTTTATGTGAAAACTTTTGATCTCTTACAGACACCCGAAAAAAACATAACTTATTGAGCGCCTGGAATTAAAAATTCATCACAAATTTACTTAGTTTAGTTATCATATTTCAGAGTCATACAGCTCAGGTAATGTAGCCGACAAGATATTGTGTTCATTTTCGGCTTCTTCACCTCCATGCCAATCACAAATGTTGCAACCTGACAGAACAATCAGGTAGCAAGATTAGCACAAAACTAAAACTTATTTTTTAAGCCCACAGTAAATCAATTTGGAATTCTTAATTATCAAAGTTTGTATAACCACCTAGCAATATTAACCCCTAGCAACGAAACGTACAAACATCGAATAGATTTGTGGGGTACCCAAAAGCGAATATTCCCAAATTTGGTAAATGACACTGGTCTTCATATATATATATACCATCATAATAAAAGTATTCATAATAATCAGCTGAGGAAAAGGTTATGAAGAGAACAAACAAGAAACTTAACATTCCATCTGGATTTTTAACGTTACAAATAATCAAATACATCTAAGCACAATTAGAAGTAGATTAACACATCAACACCTAAATAAATATCACATCTTATTCCGCAAGTCATACCTGAAACACTTTCGAACGATTTAAGTTGATAAATATCCATTAGGTTTTATAATTTTAGCATATGATTATATTTCATTAAAATGATTAAATATTGATATTTTTCAGCTCTAAAATTCCTTCGTTTGTTTTTTGAACTACAAACAGTGAACCAATTTTGAAATAGCGATTAATATCTCCTTCACTTGATACCTTCGAAGAATAATTACCACACATTCTTAAATGTCATCCCAACTGGTTATAAGGAATGTATCACAGAAGCATTTACTCCGAGTCATTGTTACCTACGTATATGTAGTTCTACAATAATTAGATTTTTCAGCATATGATCACGGGGAAAAATCCGATAAATTACCATAACATTATAAAGTAGCACTTAAACTACTGAAAAGTTAAAATTATGGTGTGGTTTAAAGTTTTTCTATCTCTATCTGACACAATAAATAGACGTGAAACTACTCTAACATCAAACCAGGAGTTTTACCGTACAGTTGGGAAAAACACCCATCGGCAAGAGTAAACAATAAGCAACCATCTGTAATGCTGAGCTATCTGGTAGGTCAAATCAAGGTCGTCTGACTTTGGTGCCTTTGTTTACTCTTGTCTATCCATCACTAGTGAGAAACTGGCGCTGAAATGTTATCACAAAGGATTTGCTAACTAGTTTTATACCACAAACAGTCAATCGACTACACTACACGTCAACAGTAACGCATTAGCTGTAGAACCGCCCTCCTTGTGGGTCATTTCAATATCCAATGTCTTTGGGTCAAGCCACCATAAAGTATTTGATCTCTTGCCTGTTGTCATTATCAAATGATTTTGGATCTTTAGTGGGTTTCAATGTGACGGCTCAGCTGAAGACAATAAATAGAAAACGGTTAATGCATTCTGAACAGAATTTATGATTAATGTTAGTGCAGTGAGGCTAGTGAGACTATTAAGTTTCGTCCAGCTATGCATTCCTTGGAAAGGCGAAAACACTCCAAATGCACTTTTGGTGTAGAAAAAGCAAGGAAATCTAGGGAACGTACAGACGGAAAAAATGGAAGATAAGACAGAAGAGCTAAGTAAAAGACAACCGAGACTAAATGTGCACACGGAAAACGAGACAGACTATTAGGATGGCAAAATGGAAAACTCAGAATAAACACGAGATTTACCAAGCTAAAAATATGACACTATTGTTATATTTGCACGGTTAGTCACATCTAGCCTACCTCTTGCATAGATGGACACAAACATTTCATTTTAGCATAAGTCTTGGCTTCTCTTGATGGTATCAGCTGACGGAGTAGAGGCCACTCAAGAATGCAGTAAATTCGAAACGTTATGATTTAAAAAATGTAAATGGTGAGTCAGCATTCTGTCCTGCCCTCACTGGACAGGGGATACCCCAAGAGATACCGCATACCCATTCCAGTAATATCATTCAGTTACAGAAGTTTAAGATATGCACTGCGCTGTACGAGGTTATTAGGTTGTTATAGTTCTCCGATAATTGGCGTTAGGCCGATTTTGCGGTCCAATATGACTAACCTACTGGCGTCACTTCAAGCTGGTAATGGTTTCGGTCGCTCTCGTATGTACGCCCACCAAAAACACATTTAAATCTCACCTCACCGAAACACTGAGACCTGCACTGATTATAAACAATTCAATTTCTCAATGCGAAAATAGCGTGTCCAAACAATAATTCCTCAAGTTCGGCTTACACGCTATAAACCTGCTTTGTAACTAGTTTACCCTTAGGATTTATTTTACCATCGCTCTTCTTCGTACTTGGTGAGAAAAAATTAAACATGAATAGCGTTCACTTTCATTTTCGAATTTTTGTACATTACGAAATTTTTGGCCAACTCCCTAAAGCGCGATAAGAATGTAGCTGTAGGTAATTCCTCAGAATTATTGGCCACAGAATTTATCACTGAAAATTGGATGCTGACTCTTAATGTTTTAGTCGATATGTTTAGCTGAAGGCTTCCGGTCAGGCATCCACACCATTCGGCATTCTGTCGTGTTACGTTCTTTCGTTTGCGCACGAAAATGATCAAATATTAGACAGAGGAAACACCAAGAATGCCACAGAACTCATAGCCCCATCTAAAGCGCGAACTTGGAAATTAAACCTCTTGTTTGTTTTGCCTCTATTTATAATTTCAGACATTCATGACAATAACCCCCATACATATAAGAGTAAACCCAATAAGGTTACGAAATAAAAACGGTGAATCATAACCGACATACGAATAAACTATGTAAAAACAAGGTTGAAACTTACCGCAACATCACATGGAAAGATAATATAATACATATTTTACATAAATTAGCATTCACATAATTGACATATCATTTGTACATGCATGATCCTATCTGACGAGTGCGATTTGAAATGCAAGTTACCTGGACATTATATATAATCCACCAACTGGTCTCCTTTCCAAAAAGAATGTGACTATGCTGTATCCACGGTGGCTAGCGAACACATATCCACAGTTCCCGTTGTACACACTCAGTGGAGGTAAGAGCCAACAAAGTAATGCATTTTAAGCATACGCATACTCCCCATTATCACAGCGATGCTCTGCGGAATATGTCAATATCACAGAGTAATCAAATCCTACACGAAATATCATTAATTAAATCCGAACGATGAACACGTTGTAGTACATATCTGAATATTCATCCATATGTTGATTATGATGACAAATCCATATGGCCACCCATACAGCGCCAATAAACCTGGATATCCGTAAATAACGAAAATATACTGACAGCTGCATTTCAGATCCCACTGACTCATTTGATGGTAATATTCTGCTTCTGCATGCTTCATTCGACATTTTGGTTCGCATTCACTCTGGTTCCAGACCGAAAAGAATCAAAAATCCACCGGTTGCTGAATCATTATTGCTTCTCTGCATGTATAACTGGATTCTAGCTGATGTGTTCACCATGGTGATCCTCTTGCGGATTGTATCGCTTGAAACATCGTTTTTATCCTTCACGTTCCCAGTGTAACATAGGGCCTCAAGCTAGTGGCTTGAAGTTTCCGTAGCAGTGTCTATTTTTACAGGTTGGGGTTGCTAGCCTCATGCCCAACCTTCCCTCTTTACTAGTCTTAGTACTGGCTAAGTGAGGTAAAGGGGTGCGTCGGCCGAGGATCGAACCCCGGGCCATGTGCATGGTAGGCAGGCGCCCTAACCACTACGCCACCGACGCCTAGAATTATATCATATAAATTTTTTTATGCAGTGTGCCTGCTGCCATTATTACATTACCTTCTTTTGTAGTCGTGTGTCAGCGAAGATTGTAAATATGCTTACTCCATGTATACATTATTATCATATTGATGATGGCTGACAAGTAGAGTCTGTCATGCGCATTAAGTGATAATATATCATTATGAGATGCATCTTATTGTTATATGAGTAAATTGACTTCAAGCTTTATTTATTTTCCCAAGTACCTGTAACCCACCCAACATATACTTGGTTTCATTTTGTTAATGAGAAGTCAATATCTCTATACTTCCGGATGTGGTCCGTTGAATCACTACTTAACAGATTTTCCCCACAAACCAAAGACAAAAAGACAGCAATTATGTAATTTAACCGTAAATCGTGTAGTTTGAATATGTAATTTAAATAATAGTTACCCATGCCTGTCAATGTAGTTGAAGATTGAACGATCAATTCATGGTTGTTTGCTCAAAACCAACTTCCCCAATTTTCGCAAAGGCATCAATACACCAGTCATTGTCTCATCGGTCGCTGTTCAGAAAGAAGTCAGGAGACAATCGTCAGAAGTAATATTGTGATTTATTGTTGTAATATTTGTTCATAGACCTTAGTTTTCAAGTTTAATTTTGAAGTTGTAAATGTGCAAAATTTTCTGTGTGATTAATTTTAATTTATAATTTGAGGAAATTAGATGCAATATTGTGATTAATGCTGAAAATTCCATTCTGTATCACAAGTACTGTTTTTGGAATAAAGCAAATCATTATTATTATTATTATTATTAAATTTGGCTATATGTTGGTGTTACAATAAAGAATACTCGAGTGGCCAATCGGTGTTTTGGTTTTTTCGTCCGTTATTACTAAGCGTTTCTGAGAAAATTCAAGGAATGGCGTCAGCCCGAGTGCAGCATGAGCTGGGCATTAACGGTTTAGGAGTCGTGGCTGACAGTTTCTGACGGTGCAACGTCAGTTTTTATATGGTTTTGGACAGTTTGCTCGACTTTGGATAGTCACCGTTCATCTTTGCTGATGCCGGTCAAGTCCTGTTTGAACAAGCAATATCTGGAACGTTTTTGGAATTGGGTCAAAGAAGGGACAGATCGTCTTGGATACAAACAGGAAAGTAAGTCATGGTGACTTGTCTGTCACTTGTAACGATGTGCCTGATGTTAAGCATGACATGGTTGATGTTACTGTTTCGCCGTCCAGGGATAATAGGAACATCAAAATCCCTAAATTTGAACCAATGTGTTTCGATGGAAACCCGGCTGATTATTTACAATTTGTAAAGGAGTTTGAGATCATGCTGAGTAGTTTTCTATTAAGTGATGAATTGAAATTGATGTATTTGATGAGGTATTGCACTGGAGATGCTTCAAGAGCTATACAGTGCTGTATGCTCATGCCCCCTAATGAGGGATACGCTAAGGCTATGAGCATATTACGTCAAAGGTTTGGAAGACCTTCGATGATTGTAAGGAACGTATTCGAAGCTGTCAAAGGTAACGGCAGTCAACTACAAGATGACTCCAAGGCACTTACTGAGTTTTCGGATAATCTGATGACTTATAAGAATACCTTGATTTCTATGAATTGCATGAGTGACCTCAACTACAGCTCAGTCCTAGAGGTAATTGCGAGATGCCTACCTACTTGGCCGCAAAGGAAGTGGGTGAAAATAAACCCTCATATAGAGGATGAGGGTATCGAGCCAAGGTTTGATGATATTCTGAGACTGGTGAAGGACAGTGTAAATCAGGCGATGAGGAAGTTTGCCAGTATATTGAATCTCACCCCTGGAATAGAGCTGTCTGAGGGCAAAACGCAATCATTGATGACGAATAGGCCTCAGAGAGGTGGATATCGAGAAGGCTCCATGATGTCTAGTAATGCGTATAGACCTAGTGAGTGTAACAGGTTTCGTAGTACATCCTCAACAGATAAGCTACAAGATGCAAGACAAACACGGTTGTGTTTTACACGTTTGCAAGAGGTGCATAAAAAGGTGAACTGTGAATCAGTGATCAAGTTCAGTGATAAGCTAAATGTAAACTCCAGGCCTGACTCCGAATTATGTGACGATAACGGTGCGGTCAAGAAGTCTGTAGTTGCAACTGGTAAGCCATTGTTGAATAGAGTGTCACAGAATAGAGTTGCTGCTTCAGAGTCCAGTTCTGACCCCATAAGTTTACAAGGTATTGGTAGTCAGAGTGAAGGTATAAAATCTTTAGGGATTTGTGGGGAAGAACCCAAATCATCCGCTGCTGTTATTAAAGAGTTTGAAATTCATGAAGTCGACCAGATAGATGATGGTAAATTGAATATTTGTGATAATGATCATGATAGTGCAGATTTGTCTTTGGTCGATCATGATGAAATGGGGGAAATTCCTACTACTGCTAAGTTGAATAAAGGTTCTGTACAACTAAAACATGAAGTATAATTGAATGCAGTTGCAGAAGGTATGGGTACTTGTGAGACCGTCGGTGTAGTTGATCAGCGTGTA